GAAAAATGGATGCTAGTTTGATTAAGATTACCTCTAATTACATGTATTATTTTTTTTTTTTCTGCATACGTTGCAAATTGTCCCAGTTAAGCCATATGCACTATATTTCCAAAAGTATTGGGACGCCTGCCTTTACATGCACATGAACTTTAATAGCATACTTAATTTACTAAGCACTGAAGCAATTGCACTTGCAAAGTGCACAGTATATTTGCCTTTACTAAATCTACCCCATTGTCTCTTCCTGTTCCTGTTATTGCACATTTGCATAGAGATTCATTACTTTATTCAAGTGTGCCTTGTGTAAACTTCCTAGTGTGACTTTAAGCACACTGCACATTATGCTTTTACAGATCATTATGTCATGACAGCCAAACCCCCTGGTTGGTCATGTCAGTAGAGCATCCTGATGTTCTGTGAGTCTAGGCTTGTGAAATGACATTTAATTTTAAGTATTCAACTTTTCCCCGCTTTCTTTAGAAATGAAGCATAATCTGGTTCAACAGAAACATTTTTACATTGGAACTGTGAAATCCGAGCATAAAGCAGCCTATTGTGGCCTTCATTATTTTCTCACAAATATAGTCCATTGTCACATAGCTGAAGTTAATTTGATCAACATTGGGACATTAAACTTTTATGTCCAGTCAAAAGACCTGTTTCATGCTCATTTTGGGCATTGAGAGGTAGTGATTGCCTGAAAAAAATAATGTTACTGTTAACAATTCACAGCAATTAGTTTCCCAGGGAGAAGAGATGTGATGCACAGGCTCCACACAGCTATTCTTTGTGGTTTTATGGATCCTCATTAGTCATCTGTCAGTGTAGCTCAAAGACCCCTCCAGTCTCAATGGTTCCCAGAACTAGCAGCTGAAAGAGGCAGGGAGAAGCCTGGTTTCTGGGCAAAAAGTGACTTTGAGCCTAGAGAGAAAAGACGCTGCTAGACTAACAAACACTACACCTCTAAGTCATGAAAAGACACTACTGGACTAACAAACACTACACCTTTTCAAAGTCAGACTTCTCTCCCTGTAGTTCTGCTGCTTTATTTTGCAGAGAACATGATGTCCCAGGAGCGGATACTATCTTTGGACATTCAGATTGAAACATAGTGGAGCAAGTTTGTGACTGGTTTGAGTTGGGGGTCCGCCTTTTAATGCTGGACTATAGGAGAATTCCATCAGCACAGGAGAGCTACTAACACTAATGATGTGCTGGTAATGCCTCTAGTTGAAGAAAAGTGAAGAAATCAACTATGGCAATTAGATTCCTTGCATTAGGCTAGGCAGATGCTTACTTTCTTTCCAGTTTTTACCTAAACAGTAAAGCATGAAAATTGCATTTGCTCTAGGCACCAGTTCAAACTTTTTCAGTTTAGTCCAGTTAATGTGCTCCTGTGAACATGCTGGGTTCTCCTCCTGAAAGATCTTCAGTATAATAAAATAAAAAGTTTATGTACACCGCAGCTGCTAAACTGACCTTTTAGGAGCAGATGTTTTTTTTTTTTCTAAAGCCCCTGAGTTCTCCTTTGGTTATCCTATGTGTCCATGTACACATTGTTTAGAGTTGTTTACAGGCAGCTGAGTTTACTGGCATTTCTCTAAAGGCACAAAAGCTGCGATCCGGGCAAGGGTTTACTGGCATTTAAAATGCCAAACTTGCCTAAACCCACCTAAATGCACCTAAGCGCTAGGTGTGTTTTAGCACTTTAGCATTTATTCACTTAATTGCCCAGAATAAATAAATTCTGGCCAATGAAATAAAAAGGCCTCATGCACAGTGCTGCTCCTAAACGTGAGTTTAGGAGCTTTTGGCGTTTTTTGCCACTGAACTCTATGTACATATAGGCTTTTATCAGCGTTTAGGGGCAGTTAAACATCCCTCTCCAGAACTCAGAAGAATCAAACCTACACACGGCAAAAATGCATAGCCTCGTTTAGCACTTGTGCATTTATTCATGTCAATGGAAAATATTCTGGTCGTTCAAATGAATAAACGTCCAAGTGCTAAACACAGTACTGAGTGTACACGCATTTTTTTTACGCGTTTAGCATTTTTCTGCTGCCAGGAGAGCTCAATGTGTAGGGGACGGTTCATGTATACATGAGGCCATAAACTCCCAAACACCAGATGCTGCTAAAACTCACCTAGACTGCTTTGGTGAGTGTTTAGGCCTCATGCACACAGGACGTTTTAAAAACACTCCTCCTATTGGCAGCAACGTTTTGGCAGAAAAAAAACACCTGGCGCTTTGAAAAGTATCTAACAAGCATTTAGGCGAATTAACAGGCGTCAAGCGCTTGGGTGTTCATTTCATTGGCCAGAATAATAGTTTGTTCTGGCCATTTAAATGAATTATCCTTAAACGTGCCTCAATGTGCTGGCAGTGTTTTTTTTTTTTTTTTTTGTTTTTTGTTTTTTAGCTCCTAAAAGTCCCTGCCAATAAAAGCTTCTAAAAGTCTGTGTGCATGGACACATAGCATAACATAGAGGGGCATTGGGAAGCTGTAAAAAAATAAAATCCGCTTGACGCCTCTAAAAGTAGCTGCAAAAACACCCTGTGTGAATAAGGCCTTAATGCTGATTTTCTCCTGTAAGCAGAAACATTGTTTACAATAAGACTTTGGTCACACCGAATATGACTTTAAAATCATGTGACTTCACTTGAATTCACACAATTTCAAGGTTGAATGTCAGTCCAATTTCAGGTGTGACTTGAAAGACATCTGTGCAACTTCATGTACAGATGTCTATGAAAGTCCAACCTGAACTTTCAGAAAGTAGTGCATGAAGTACTTTCAAAATCGGTGCGACTCCAACGGAGTTAGAATTGCACCGATATGACCACATTCATTGTGGACAAAAGGGTGCAACTTGTCATGCAATTTGAAATTGTCAAATTGCATGACAAGTCACATCGGTGTGACCGGGGACTTAACCAGTGTGCATGAAGCCTAAAGCAACACACGAGTGTTAATTGTAGCTAGTAAAATTCCAACTCTTCATAGGCAAGAAATCAAGTTAGAAGATAAAAAAAAAAATTCAGATTGAATGCTATAGACAACACAGACACTGCCTTACAGTTTTATTAATGGTATCTACAATTGTAACTGATTGATAAACTGTTGTTATTCAGGGTTGAAAGATGTCTAAAAATAAGTATTAGGTTTAATCTCCAGAGGAGACTGAAGATGTAGATCATGCTCTAATAGAGGCTTGAAATTGTTTACAGGGCTTATTATGCAAGTTTGAAAGTTAGATGATTGCAGTTACTGGAATGTCTTTTTTTTTGTACAGTACTGTGATATTGTTACTCACAAAAATTGGTTCCATTGCAAGCTCCGTTATGAATTGTAAGGTCTTCAATAGGTGACTGAGGCATCACCTGCAGTGTACATCACTACACAGTGGGGTTATTTACTAAAGTAGGTTCACTCAGAATCTAATGCACTTCTGCATGGAAAGCAATCAGTTTACAGGTTTTAGATAAAGCTTAATTGAACAACTGAGATAAGAAGCTGATTGGCTAACATGCACAGGTACACCAGATTCTGAGTGAACCAGCTTTAGTCAAATAAACCCCAGTCTGTCAGGGATAACTAGCCGGAAGAAGCTCTTCTGGTTATTTAACCTGACTTAAATTATTTAGCAGTGTACTTTTAAGATGTACCTTCTGCTTTTTGCTTTTAGATTTAGTGGCTGAGCTCAAATAATCTGGAAAAGCTGTTCTACCACAGTTATTCTTTGGATAAAAATACATTCTTCAGTTTCTCCTGACGGAGTATTCGCCCCCTATCATGATTTGGGTATTTAGATACTTAGTTTTGAACTACCTAGTTGAGTTTAGTATTTTCATAAAAGAGACCTCTGGGTTTTCGAGATTCTAGGAGGTTCTTGTAGATTTGGATTATGCAGCTGTTTGTGCTCATATAAGGATGGCCAAAAGGGAAAATTCCACTTTTCTCCCTCCTCTCCACCTCTTCTGACATATTTGGAATATATAGATATATATATATATATATATTATATAGGGGGGGGGGGGGGGGGGGATTGGGTACTTTTGGTGGTTTTGAGAGGTACAGGTGTACCTCTGTTTAAGAATGTAATTAGTGCTGCGAGACTTCTCGATAGCACGGGGGGACTTCTTTTTGAGAAGTACCTGCTCCCACTACCACTCCATCCACCTAGGCAATCGGACTGGAAGTTCTTCAGTTCTCCATTCCACCTGCAATCTCCTGGGACATGTCACATGTCCCAGGAGATTGGGTCAGGAGGAATGGACCTGGCCCGGGTGAGGACGGTGCTGGATATCCCTGGACAAGTGTCTATTTATTAAAAGTCAACAGTTTATGTAGCTTTTGACTGTTGCTTTATGGAAACCAGACTGGAAGCCCTCTGTAACACTTTGTTTTTTTTTTCCATTCTGCATATCACATTGTTTGGGACTAAGCATGCAGTTATGCACACTTCAGATCTAAGATGCGGTTTCACTGCCTGTTGCTTTCAAATCAAAGAGGCAATCTGGCATCAAACAAACCTGCAACAACCAGTGTGTCATACTAGGGTATCTCAGTGCTGTTTATAACCACTTGAATAAATTATCGTTTTAAAATTGTTTAACCACTTGCCTACAGGGCACTTATACCCCCTTCCTGCCCAGGCCAATTTCCAGCTCTCAGCGCTGTCACACTTTGAATGACAATTGCGCGGCCCTGCAACACTGTACCCATATGAAATTTTTATCATTTTTTTGTGACAGAGCTTTATTTTGGTGGTATTTAATCACCTCTGGGTTTTTTATTTTTTCTTAAACCAAAAACCACTGAAAATTTTGAAAAAAAAAAAAAAAAAGTTTTTTCTTAGTTTTTGTTATAAAATTTTGTAAATAAGTGATTTTTCTCCTTCACTGATGTGCACTAATGAGGCTGTAGTGATGGCCACTGATAAGATGCACTGATGGACATTGATAGGTGGCACTGATGAGGAGGCACTGGTAGGCATCACTGATGGGCACTGAAAGGCAGCACTGATATATGGCACTGTTAGGCGGCACTGACTGTCACTGATAGGTGGCACTGACTGTCACTGATAGGTGGCACTGACTGGCAGCACTGATAGGTGGCACTGATTGTCAGTGATGAGTGACACTGAAAGGCAGCTCAGATGGGCACTGATATGTGGCATTGATGTGTACTGGTAGGCACTGATATGTGGCATTGATGTGGCACTGATGGGCACAGACAGGTGGCACTTCTGGGGCCACACTGATCATCAAGGCACACTGATCATCAGTGCCCTGATGATCATTGTACATGTCCCCTCCAAGGAATGCCGATTACCGGGTCTCCTCTCCTCTCGAGCAGTCCGCGTGACACCTCAAGAGGAGAGAATTGCCGATAACCGGCGTTTCCCTGTTTACATGCAATCAGCTGTGATTGGACACAGCTGATCACATGACTGAGCCGACATCTTCGGCTCTTTCCATGAATTGGTGATCTGCTGTGTCCGAGGGACACAGCGCACCGCCGATCGCCGCGCTGCGCGCTCCCTGAGTCGCGCATGCGCGGTGAGAATGGAAGGATGTCATATGACATCCTATCAGAACGAGAGAACCACCTTGGCCCGTCATTGGACTATATGGCGGGCGGGAGGTGGTAAATATGTGTGTTTTGCTTTTTCTTTGTTTTTATTGTTGTGTTTTTTTTTTTTTTTTTTTTTGCACTACAAATGCACCTGCATGTCTCCCTGTAACTATTCTTGTTACAGATCTCTCAAAAAGCCACATCCTCCCCCTCCCATTGCTGTACTTACCCTACTGCTCTTTTGTCTTTTAAAGCCTTAGGTCTAACCGCTGTGTAAGCTCCATGTCAATCTGGGAAATGGCCATGTCACTTCCCATGTCACCTCCCCACTCAGGCCTTAGCACTACATCCTGGGAGTAAGGTGGAGGGAATCACAAGCTTCTCCTTAACCAGCTCATCAAAGTCCAAGGAATTTCCAGGGGCTCCAGTAGATGAACAGAGTGGTTGAGGTTTCCGTAAGGGGAATTATTGTGCGTGGTGAGGTGGCCTGTCAATAAAAACCTTTATTTTTTCCCTGAATGGGCAAATTGCCAACAACAGCTGTTTTCTTCATGTTTACATTTGCTTTACAGACCAAGTCTGAACAAAATGAAGCTTTATGAATGCCCGCCCATCAGCACACAAGAGTCCAGAAACATGGGCCCATGTATGGTTTCAGGGGAAGGCGGATTCTCTTTGAGGGTTATGTATTTCTGACAGTATCTAATGGGGAAAAATGTGTACATAAACAATTTCTCAATTATGTTGTAGTGTCATTTCAAATTAATTAACTTAGAAAACAGCATCATCTTAGGCAGGCAAGTTTTATTTTTTTACTTTTTTCTCTAATCTGAATGAAAGAAAATCCATAAATGCTAATGTTACTTGATATTATATTATTAGGTTAGAGGAAAATGAAAATGAACGACCCTTGTGGTTTTATTTATATCCTCTAAATGTAGCGATTTATAATAGGCATGTCAGGCAGGAGTTTGAATTGCAAAGTGTTCTAGTTAATAGAAGACCATCAGTTATAAATTTAAGAAATAAAACACTTAAGATACTGCAACTGAAAATACATAACATCACAGTAGGGTCCAGTCACCAAACCATTTAAAAAAATTTGGAGAAAGCGGTGTTGTCCACAGCAACCAATTTATTCTTTGAATTTTTTGTTCTTTTTCCTCATAATTGACACCGCAATTTACATACTATATATTCACTTCAGTCTCTGCCTTCAAGGATCTTAAAAGTCCCCATATCACATGCATGCGTAAACCCACACATATACTTACGGACAAGTTGGATTTGAGTCAGTTTACCTACCACCATGTCAGTATGGAAGGCAACCAGAGTACCTGGAAGAGAACATGCAAACTCGATGCAGATAGTTCCTAACCGAGATTTGAACCAGGGACTCCAGTGCTGCTAAGCTAAATTGCTAACCACTAAGCCATGGTGTGCAATTAATCCAGATCAGAATAAATATCTTTTAAAAATGACCATCTATTACTTTGGTTTGTGTATTTCTACAAAATATTAAAAGAAATGGGATATTTACTATTTATGCAGTTTGGCTTGTATTGTGTTCTTTGTATAGGTTAAGATGAGTTTCAAGTATGGATACTTTGTATATACACAATATTGCCAAAAGCCTTACATCACCAAGTGAAATGCATCCAACACTTTGCATTTCACTTGGTGATGTAAGGCTTGGATGCAGCTGCTCACCCATGGAAACCCATTCCATGAAGCTCTCTACACACTGTTGTTGTGCTAATCTGAAGGCCACGTGTAGTTTGGCGGTCTTTAGCTATTGACTCTGCAGACAGTTGGCGACTTCTACACACTGTGAGCTTCAGCATGCGCTGACTCTACTCTATTTTTCGTGGTTTACCATTTCATAGCTGAGTTGCTGTTGTTCCCAATTGCTTACACTTATGCACTGTTGTAACACCACTAACAGCTGACCGTGAATATTTAGTAGCAAGGAAATTTTACGGATGGTCTTATTGCACAGGTAGCAACCTATCACACTTGAATTCACTGATCTCCTGAGAGTGACCCATTCTTTTGCAAATGTTTGTAGAAGCAGTCTGCATTCCTAGTTGTTTGATTTTATACACCTGTGGCAATGGAGATGATTGGAACACCTGAATCCAAAGATTTGTAGGGGCATCCCAATATTTTTGGTAATATAGACTATTTATTTTGGTTCGATGTAATGCAGTTATCAAACCTCCATTTAATGCCATACCTGGCCAGTGCCCCTGGAGGCCACTTCTGGGTCCCATTCTGAGTGCCTGCCCTGGAGCATTCTGAACACAGGAGGTTGGCCGTTGGCACAAGCGCTGTTGAGAGAAGGTTTTGCATTCTATGAATGAATGCAAAGTGGTCTCTGATCGAATGAGCTGAAGAGCATGATATCACCACCCTGCCACTCCAACTTGTCTAATCTGAGAATACTTTGCATTCATTCAGAAAATGCAAAGCGTTCTCTGAGTGGCACCCAAGTCGAGCAGTCAACCTCCTGTGTTCACAGTGCAGCAGGGCAGCCACTCTGCACCAGACCTGGAAGTAAATGAAGATCTCTGGTGTGGTGTCTACTGTATTTCAGTGATTTTCAGCATACAGGGGCATTGGCCAGGTATGGTATAAACATAGTTATGATGGTCCAAAGTATGAAATATCAGTACCTGGAATTCTTCTTTAAATGTTCGGATTGGTGGTGTACTTGTTGCTGGATAGCTCAGCCATATATTGGAGTATATCACTACTCGCTATACTAAAGCTGGTCATAGACTGTTTGAATCTTGGCCGTTTCAGCAGGAACCCTATCGAATCTTGTATGGAGATACGAACCATATATGGGCAAGCTGCTCATCAATTTGGGTACAACCAGCCTGCAAGATTATACATGTGATTATTGCTAGCGGCTGTTACAGCCACTAGCAATAATCACTGTCTTCTCCCACCAGGGACTGCTTCCCTGCCTCCCACTGGGAGAACACAATGGCTCGGCAGGAGGGATTCTACTGTCAACACTGACTTTTGCAGGAAAGAAATTCACTCAGTCTATGGCCTGCATTACTTTATTTTTAATGCAGGTGAATTCAATTCTGATAGATTTCTGGAAGGCTTTCAGATTTCATTTTGGTAATTTTCAAAAGTTTTTACATTAACCAGTTCATGTAGTGGCCCTTTTCATAGGAGGCTAGTAGTATAATGTAGGTTTATATTTTTGTATCTTTTTTTTATTTGAGGGGGTGATGAAGACTAAGTCTTGGAATAAGTAGAAAGTTATGATTTTCATTTTATGTAAAATAGTCATTTTTTTCATATTTTATAGTTTTCATCTTTCGGTCAACAAATTCTGCATCTGCTGTTACAGGATAAGGCCAGGCTTTGTGTACTAATCTGACTGAATGGGCTCAGGAGGTGGCACACAGGACAACAGGGGTGTTGTTGGATACTGTTGCTAACACAGAATTTTCCCATTGTTCTGATGGCCAGAACCTGCTTGGCAACTCATTCCTTTTGGGGCCCTGTGGTTGAACAGCACGTTAAAGTTTTTCCTTTAGGTTGCATTCCATTATTTAATAGTAAAAATATACATATTTGATATTGTCCTAAGTCAATAAATATATTTGTGCTATGGACACAATGGAATAATTAAATACCACTTTTATTATTGTGTAGTAAGGATATTTATAAGTGGTTATAAGTAAACAGAGAGCAATATGAAACTGTCTCAAACTTTTCAAGTCATTAAGTTGTAGTTCCAAAAATTGATGGTGATTGTTTTGGCTTAGCTTTCTCAGTTTTTCGTGTTGATTTCAATTGTGATAAAATGTGACTCCCTGAAGAGGTTTCTTTACTTTACTTTTATTTGAGTTTTGACCTGTGTGCATAAATGTTTTGAGAAGGCAGATTGTGAAAGATTCCGAAGATTCGTCAGCTGTTAATTTGTATTAATGTACAACTCTTACAGCCAGGTTTCATTTACAATAATGCCCTTGTTTGAGAAATGGTGAACAGAAGACTAATGTGCTTTTTTTCCTTGCAAACAAATGATCTTGAAAAATCTCAGCATTCATCAAACAGCAATATAATGAGTAAATGTGATTGCTCAGCAAATATTTTCTGCTTGTTGTCAGGTTAACTCTTTGTGCTCTGGCAGTATAGCTTCTAGTAGGGGGAAAGCTACTCTATTTTCCGTGGAAATAAATTATTTCCACTTTTTGGAGAATTTGTCCTTTTGGCCTAAAACTGACAATGGTGGGAGCAGATTTTCGAGGTCACTGGATGTCCCAAACAAGTGATTTATTTGGTATGACTATTTTTTGCTAAAGGATGTTCTATTTCCATTTGTTGAATTCATGTGTATTTGTTTCCAGTAAACATCTTAAAGAACCACTAAAACAAGGTACATCTATTTGTTGCACCATTAAAAATTGGAAGTGGAAATAATTCATTAAATTGTACAAATTTTTTTATGACGCTTGTTTTTTTTTTTTTTTTTTTCAAATTTTTTTTATTGTTTCAGTCGGGTATTAGCTGGCTGATCAATTATTCTATGTCCATTGTTTGCTACAGCTAGGCTGTCTCTCATAGTCAAAGGTACAAGACAACTTTCTATTCTGGGTCAGCATGCAATGAATGCATTGCCTTCTATTCTGTATCATGTCAAAAATATGGGAGTGTTCATGTATAAAAAAAACAAAAATCTTCCAGTTGCATGGTGATCTCTGTGTGTCTGAATGATCTGCCTGCTTGAATCTTTCAGATCTAATTATCTCTCTCCTGCAACAGCACCCTTGTGAGAGACCCAGGAATTTTGGGATATGTAGTTTCTTCACAGGAAGTGTTAGTTCTCAGACTACAGACAGAGGGCATGAATTAACCTGGGCAGTGCCATGCAGAATGCCTCATGGTTGAATACAAACAGAAATTGCTGAAAAATAAATGTGAAGATATACTCTACTATTGGATGTGCATACAGGGAAACAATTGACAACATGACACTACATGATCAGTGCGCATCTTATGCAGGTGAAACACACAAGGTATAGGTAACAAGGTTTATAATGCCTTTAAGTGAAGTTGAGCCAGAGTTAGGGTTACTGGACACAAACGTTTGAACTCTTGAAACCTGAGGTCCACTTTCTGTAACTGGCCAGTGTGTGTGTTTGTGTGTGTGTGTGTGTGTGTGTGATGTGTGTGTGTGTGTGTGTGTGTGTGTGTGTGTGTATATATATATATATATATATATACACCCACACACAGTGGATATAAAAAGGCTACACAACCCTGTCAGGTTTCTGTGATGTACAAAAATGAAACAAAAGATAAATCATTTCAGAACTTTTTCCACCTTTAGGGTTCGTGTACACGGGGCGTTTGGAAAACTCTTCTGAATGATGGAAACCGTAGGTTAAAAAATGTCAGTTTAGCTGCGTTTGCATAACGCGTTTAGCCGTGTTTATGCACGTTTGCTTTTAGAAGCGTTTTTAAAAGATAACCTCAGGAGACCCTCCCAAATGCCCAGAATGCACTGAAAAATAGTAAATTCACTAAAAAAAAAAAGGCTACTAAAATACCGCATGAGTTAGTTTATCAAGTCATGCGGTATTTTAGTAGTGAAAAGCATGCATTAATGTTTCAGCTGTCAGTGAGATTCCCACTGACAGCTGAATGTAAAAGAAAGAATTGCCGGCAATTAAAAAATAATAAAAAAACGGTGTGGGGTCCCTCCATCCCATCCATACCAAGCCCTTCGGGTCTGGTATAAATTTTGAGGGGAAGCTCCATGCCAAAATTTAAAAAAAACGACGTGAGGTTCCCCCCAAAATTAATAACCGACCCTTATCCAAGCATGCAGCCCGGTAGGTCAGGAAAGGAGGGGGGCGCCCCCCCCCCCCCCCCTGAACCATACCAGGCCACATGCCCTCAACATAAAGCACCTTGTCCCCATGTTGACACCCTGGGCTGTGGTTGTGGGGGTCTGTGGGTGGGGGGTTTATTGGAATCTGGAAGCCCCCAGATACCGCCCCCCCCCCCCCCACACGTGAATGGGAGTAAATGTACCGCTACCCATTCATAAAAAAAAGCTGTAGTGTAAAAAAAAAAGACAGGAGTAATTCTTTGACAAGTCCTTTAACCTCCCTGGCGGTATGATTATTTCAGATTTTTGGTGCTGAAAGCGTTACCATTATTTTGCATGGAAATATGTAGTTTCGTTATTGTAGGCCTGTCATTTTTAGGAATAACTCACTGAAATCTGTCCAAACAAGAGTCTAGTAAACATTCTGGATATGATAAAACTTGAAACACGAAATCATAAATTATAATTTAATAAATAATCATAAAAAATAATATAATAAAAATTTAATTCAATAATATAAGCAAACCAAAAACACTGAAATTTGAAATATAGCGCCAAGTTCGCACATCGCTGAGCAAAGTCGCAAAATTGTTTTCAGTGTCTGATGACGAATTTTCCCACAAATCATTACTCAATTCTGCAAGTGGTTCTGATTTACTATCGCTGTTCTCTAAGTGGTCTAAAACCGATTTTGACCTAAAGGGACGCTTTTTGGACGCCATGGACTTTTCCCAGTTTCCAGGCAGAAAGAACAGTCAAAATGCAGGCAGGGCACAGGACAAAGCAGTAGGGACAAAATGTATGTGAAATGCTTTGAAACAGCAATGTTTTGCTATGTAGTAATCGTTTTAAAAAAAAAAAAAAAAAAGACATTTTTTAAAACTCTCAAATTTGCCGGCGGTTCCGGCGCCCGTACGTCCCGACATCACAGGGACAGGAACACAGATGCCGGCATCGGCCGGAGGAGATGGCCGGGGACGCTGCAGGGGACACATCGCGGGAGCGAAGGACAAGGTAAGTGCTGCAGGGAATCCCTGAGCAACGCCGCATGGTAAGCCCGAGTGTAGCTCGGGGTTACCGCTTGTGGTACTGAAATTTTACCCCGAAGCTACACTCGGGAATACCACCAGGGAGGTTAATAAAAGAATGTCCTCCGAAGTAAATCCAATGTCTGCCACCATGTAAGGGGTGGGGCCACCCGGTGACATCACCCATGTGACCCCGCCACGTGTGACATCATCGACCAGGGCATGCTGGTCACGGACGTCACCTGGGGGCGGGGTCACAAACGTGATGGCCCCGTCCCTTACATATTTAAGAACTGTCAAACCAGCTTCTGAGCAGATGACTGGGGGCCAGCGTCAGTAGTGGAGCGTTTTCTTTTTTTTCTTTTTTCTTCGGAGCGGCGGAGATCGTGATTGACCTTGGATCTACTTCGGGGGGACATTCTTTTGTTAAAGGACTTGTCAAAGAATGACTCCTGTCTTTTTTCACACTACAGCTTTTTTTTTGTGAATGGGTAGCGGTACCATGTACCCCATACTCTGGGGGCTTCCAGATTCCGATAAGCCCCCCGCCCGCAGACCCGCACAGCCACAGGCCAGGGTTGTGGGGAAGAGGCCCTTGGGGTTTTTTTTAAAAATGCTATGCAGTATCCTACCGCATACTCGGATGAAGTAGAATACCACTTAGTGAATTGTGCGCTGGATATGGACCAGTCAAAAAACGCTTCTAACCACAAACACTTATAAACGCAGTTAGCCGCGTTTACAAGCGATTGGTGTTTGAAACGCTGATAAATTCTACTCATGCAGTGTGTTTGGTGCGTTCAAAAAAAAAGACTGTAAACTCAACTGCCTGTAAACGACATAGTGTACATGGACACATAGGAAAACAGAGTTCAGGGGCTGCTGAAAAAAATGCAGAAAAGCTCCTGAACGTGAGTTTATCAGCGGCAGTTTACATGAACCCTTATGGCAGTGTTTCTCAACTCCAGTCCTCATGAACCCCCAACAGGTCATGTTTTCAGGATTTCCCTCAGATGAAACAGCTGTGGTAATTACTAAGGCAGTGAAACTGATCAAATCACCTGTGCAAAATAATGGAAATCCTGAAAACATGACATGTTGGGGGTCCATGAGGACTGGAGTTGAGAAACACTGCCTTATGGTGACCTATAAACTGTACAACTCAATTGAAAAACAAACTGAAATCTTTTGGGGGGAGGTGTGGGGTAAACAAAAAAAAATAGAATAACGTGGTTGCATAAGTGTGCACACCCTCTTATAACTGGGGATGTAGCTGTGTTCAAAATGAAGCCGTCACATTCAAAAGCATGTTAAATAGGAGTCAGTACACACCTGCCATCATTTAAAGTGCCTCTGATTAATCCCAAATAAAGTTCAGTCGGTCTTTCCTAACATTTTCTTAGTCGCAACCTATAGCAAAAGCCATGGTCCTCATCTTCCAAAGCATCAGAGGGATCTCATTGTTAAAAGACATCAGGAGAAGGGTACAAAAGAATTTCCAAGGCATTAGATATACCATGGAACACAGTGAAGAAAGTCATCAAGTGGAAAAAATATGGCGCAACAGTGACGTCCCTCCAAAATTGATGAAAAGACAAGAAGAAAACTGATCTGGGAGGCTGCCAAGAGGCCTACAGCAACATTAAAGGAGCTGCAGGAATATCTGGCAAGTACTGGCTGGTGTGGTACACTTGGCCATGAAACCGCTTTTGATTCAATTGTCCAATTACTTTTGGTCCCTTGAAAAAGGGGGGATGGCTATTCTTAAGAGCTGTAATTCCTAAACCCTTCCTCCAGTTTGGATGTACATACATTAAAATTAAACCTGAGAGTGGGCACTTTCAGCCACTATCCATTATATAACTATAGCTTGAATGTGTTTTGGCAAATACCTGAAAAAAACTAAAACTGTGCTTGTGTCCAAATATATATGGACCAAACTGTATGTATGTGTGTATATATATATATATATATATATATATATATATTTACTGTATGTGTGTGTATATATATATATATATATATATATATATATATATATATATATGTTGTGACAGTATGAAAGGCGAGGTGATTGATGGACTTTGTGTCACCTCGCATGCGTTCATATCTGGGAGCTTAAGGTGGAGTCCAGTCCAGGTTTTCCAGGCCACTATGGCAGAGGCAGGTCTGGACTGGATTTTGTGGTCCACTGATGACCACCAGCAGGTGGTATAAAGCAGGTAGGACTGGAGCAAGAGGTTACTCTTGGCCTGGGACTCAGAGACTCATATCTGAGTGAGCTGTGAATGAAGGTTTGTGTTATATAAGCAAGGAAAAGGTTTGCATACTGTTTTCATTTTTGTTGGTGACAGAGAGAAGCCCTTCACCTTTGAGAGAGGAATCTTCTGTGTTTAGTTAGTGCCTGGATGGCAAGGATTTATTTTCTGTTTTGTTTGTTTTGATGCTTGCAACCTTGTAGATAAAATTGACGACAAGTCAGATTTTAAGAAAGCCCTGCTGTTTGGACTACCTTTTTCCCAGAGAAGGTGAGCTACCCCCACAATATGTTGGTGTATATATATTGTGGGAAATTGCATCAAGTGGTAGAACTTTTTTAAAGCACACAGCAACTCGCTTTCTTTTTAAGGGCCGTTTTAGCCCACTTTTATTTAAAGGAAAAGTTCCATAAATCCAAAGCAAACTATTTCCCTCACAGGGGTTTCAGCATCTCATTCTTCCAAAACTGACTTTTAGCCTCTTAGCTTATACATACAATCCTCCTCTGGCCTTCCACTTCAGGCTTATGTCTGTCTCCTGCAGACTCTTTTCCAAATGGCTGTTTCGCACACAGCTAGCCACTAGCACACAGCTAGTCTGGCTTCTACCTCTCCTAGGTGAAGCCCTCCTGACTCCAAGGCAGTGACCTCCTGTCTGCCGGGGTGGAGCCCTCCAACGCACACAACCATGGAGTCCTTGGTCCGCACACAAACGTGGAGTCCTTGAACCGCACCCAGCATCAGTCTCACACAGAGATACTCATTTAAAGCCCTGTACACACCTGTACCATTAGTGTGCTGGCTGCTTTCAAACTCTGGACATTGGATTGGAGATTTCTTTCCTCCCAAGGCACTTTGAAATCTCCAAACTACGGAGCCCCATCCAGAAATACCAAAATTTGGAGAAACCTGCAACAGAAATTTTCTCCACTCAAAATCTATGCTCTGCAGTTCTGCACTCCTCACATGTGCAGACCCTGTGTCCATTACCTGACCACTATATATACATATATGTGTGTGTTTATTTATATATATATATATATATATGCACTGTTATAGCTATCAAGTGATTTTTTTTTTTGTTCTGTCCAGCCTTGTGATCCAGATGTCTACACCAGCGAGCATAGTCAAATCTGTGCCATCACGTTACCTGCACTGCAGCTAAAGTATAAAGCTTTTTTTTTTTAAGTTTTGAGCATTGAAGCTCTGTTTTTTTTAAATTGCTGTCAGGATTCCCCTTCACTATTTTTGTCCGTGTGCAGCAGAGCTGACATGTTCGAGAAAGAAGCAGCACAAGCAGCCAACCTGTTCTTGTGGTTGCAAGAAACATGATGATAGGAAGAGAAAGCAGAGTGTTGGAGAGATTAGCTCATCATTGTGCTGGTTCTCCTTTCACTGTCCTGTCACAGGATGGGGGCAGGTCCAGGACAGTCTACAGGTAAGTAGGTTGAATGATGCTGGGGACATCTACCAGCAGAAAGAAGTACTACAGGACAAGTCTCTGGAGTCAAGCTGGATATTGCTGGTAAAGTGGGGTTTGTTTATTTCATCCTATATTGGGCTATTCATTTTTATTTTGTTGTTTTTGACTGGAGTTCTGCTTTAATGTGCCAAAGTTCTGAAGGTGGAAAGAGGATTTTGCATCCTTTTAGAAGATCTAATTTCATGTCTCAAGACAGGAACTGAATGAAAATCTCCCCAAAGTGTAAAAAAAACCCCAAAAAACTTGAGTGGTCTTTAACCATTTCCTGTTCTATTCATATTTAAACATGAAATAAAATTTTTAGGTTTTGAAATACTTTAATTTGTAGGTGTGTATAAAAATGATACAGAAAAGAGTGATAATCTTTCAAAACAGGTTCCGAGAGGGGATGTTGGCATGTTTAATTTTAATTTGCACATTGACAAGTTGCTTTTGTTGTAGTTGACAACATCTGAAACAAAATATAATCTGTTCTCTTATGTGGTGTGAATATTTGATTTTATAGCTTTCATTATAATTTTTTGCTTGGATTAAGTTTATTAAATTGATGCTGTGTTTTACTATTTATCTTAAATACCTACTGACAAGGTCATTAATTTTACAAAATACAACATTTTGTCTTGCAAATGGTACTATTGAAATTAAATATGGCCATCGCATCTTAATCTAACCTGCCTGGCAAATGTTCTAAGTACCAAATTAATTACTCCCCTCACTTGACAACACCTTGAATCCCTCTCATGTGCATCTTCGGCTGTACCTAATGTTTGGACATTATTAATAGCTTTATGCTTTTACATCAAAAGATCCAACCATTGTGTGAGTAGATATTGCTCTTAAGACAGTCTCATACTCCCAATGATCTAATATTTCATAATTGGATTATTTTTATATATTTTTTAAATTATGCAAAGAGCCACTTCTAAGTACAATACATTGTTATGCTGACCTCAGTCAGGTTGATGCAAGCTTGTTCCTTATTGGTTATTATAGATCCCTACACGACAGAGTTGGAAAACCCCTTCATGTACCCCTCTCCTTCTATACACGTTTATGAGGATTTTTAGCTTGGAACCAACACTAGTTTTTAGATCTGCATGTTTAATGTCTCGTAGTCCAGCTCAAAATCCCATTGAAAGCTATAGGTTTCCAAGCACTTTGTACAGTGCAACCAAAAAGATGCACAATGGCTGCATGTTGGCACCATATTTCCCTAGGAACACTTAATTAGCCAAGGCCTTGTGTACAAGCTCCACCCCTTCTGTTACTTGATGAAGCAAACATAATGTTGATATTGTTAGCAGCATGTTGTCTTTGTATTATGTAC